CCCCCCCCCCACCCCTGTCTGCCTAGCGGTGGATCAAACCCTCTAGTACAAATTATGCAACTGTTCATACTCCTTGCTTAAATTGTAAAATCGCAATTTACATGTATTATGTAGTTCTATTTATTTGTTCTTTTCGCAAAATTTGTACTTGGCGCTCCTCTTCAGTTAAATTCATCACTGAAACTGCATCGCCCAACATTCCATTGATTAAATCCTTATATTTTGATAAATTTGCAACTCTTGCAGCTTCCTGGAAGTTGAGTATTTAGTTCAATTGATTGTTAATAAGTCTTCGTATGAGACAACGCCTTTCTTCTCATGCAATGATTCCAGTCCAGGCAATCGTTGCGATATTTTTCTAGAGAGCTTGCAATAATGAACTATCACAGCAGTATTGGCAACATTATATGAAACGAACCAATTCAGGGCGTACGACACTTGCGAATTCGAGGCTGCCAACTTGGCGAATAATCTTGAAAGTTGGCATTGTTGCGATAGTACATAATAAATTTATTACACAGGATCACGAAAAACTTTATATATAGAGAGAGAGAGAAAAAAAATTCTTCATTGTCAAATACTTGCATCTTATAGAAGAATCCTCACCTCTGTTACTTCCTTTTGAAAATAAGACTTTTATAAAGATATACACGTGTGTGCGTTATAGTTAAAAAGCCTGAAATGCGTTATTCCGTAGATAAAATAGTTAAGTATTTCATAAATTTAGTAACCACGTCAGTTAAAGTATATAAAACTATTGGATTCTTCGGCTTTTAACTCGTTATTTTATGAAACAATGCTTGCCTAATCTTTAAAATATTTAATACGGCATGTTTTGGTTTCAATACAATTTCTGTAATACAGTTGGACCTCTGTATAACGAAGTCGCTAAATCCCGGAAAAAAGCTCGTGAAATGGAGAAAATTCGTTACATAGAGGTTCATCTTTTAATATACTTTATAAACCACATAAAACAAATTTTAAATTCATAAGCTCTATGTATTAAAGGAAATTAATTATTCACACCTTTTTTAAATTAGTATATTTTGTTTTATATATTTTTTTATTGAGGAAAAAAAAAAAAAACAAGAAAAACCGCAAGAAAAATAAGAAAAAAGAATGTCGAAGAATGTCACTGTATTTTCAATATTAAGAAAATAAATTTATACTAAAATTAATGAATTTCAAGGACATTTTATAATTTGGGACAACTCCACTGAGGGTGAAAAGGGATATCGAATATGTTTCTAGTGAACTGGACAATGGGGGTTAAGGGTTGCACTTCTTGGATGAAACATTCAGAACTCTGTTGCTCTCGGTGGGTTAGGATCTAATAAAACCAGTTCAGGATTTATGGCTACCATAAAATGTATTAAAAGAGAGAATAACTTGAAATTTTTTCAGAAATACTTTACAAAAAGGGAGAGAAAAAAATTGAATCACTAAAGAAAAAGTTCGTTATATAGAAAATGCACTTCGCTGTAGAGAGGTTATTTTACGAAGAAAATTGTGAAATGCTCAAGGTTCCAGGAAAAAGTTCGCTATATAGAAAAATTCGCAATATAGAGGTTCGACTGTATTTTTAAGAAGCGTAAGTGTAATTACCAACAGGATATTAAGTAGTCTAATAATTTATCTTGCATACAAATCCACATCGTTGACCGCATCACTTCAAAATGTTGCAGCGAGTTTCATTAGTGTTTCAAAGGAGCCGTAAGCATATGTCTTCCAAAAAAACTTCATATTTATTTTTCGTCCCTCAGGGGAGTCTGTAACCCCTAGAGCGCGTCCCTAGGGGGCGGATCGGGGAATGCCTCCACTGGTATCACCTTTGGGTGGTGGAGGGGAAATAAAATACCCTCCGTGAACCACAGGCAGAAGTCCAACCTCTTTGAGGCAATGACATCCCATTTCCATGATGAGTTTGAATTTTGATTTTGCGCATGGGGCCTTATAACAAAGACTATTGCTAGGCTAAGAACAGGTCATCACAGAGGAATGAAGTTTGATAGGGATGTGGTAGAAGAGTTTATAGGAATTGTGATAACTTTTTAGATACAGAGCTAACACCTGCTTATATTTTTGACTGTCCAACTGCTGCTCTAAAAGAAATAGAGGTCCTGTTTTCGTCAACAAACCTCTATGTGAATAATAGACTGCCAGAACAGTCATCTGAGCCCGTCATGGATACGAAATCATCATCATCGTCATTTATTTTTCGTGAATTTTTTTCTAATCTCCCCCCTTCCCTGCTTCATGAAGTGTTTATGTGTATATATGCTAAATCCCCAAACGCTGTGATGTGCATTCAATAGTGAAAAACCGTTCCCGCTCAAGTTTAGAAAACGATTGCTGCACTTGATGACATCTTTTTTATTGACAACGTTTAAATTTTCGTGAGTAGTAAGAATTATCCATACGTACTAATAAAAGAAAAATGTACATGTTTGTGTTGTAACACAAAAACAGAACGACTCAGAAGCGTTCAATTTGGCATGTTGCAACTATGGGTCATGATGGTGTGAGCCCCGAAGAGACTTTTTAAAAATATGTTTTATATTTTTTTTTAAATTCCGTTTTTACAGATATCGACTCCCAAGAGGTTACGGGGAGACGGCTGAGGGAGCATTATCAATAAAAAAAATAAACGTTTTTGAACTATTAGATCTGTACTTGAAGTTCGGCGAACATGTTTCTTTTGTTGATTAAGGATTCGCTAAAAATAATTTTGCTGAAATCGAATCCAAGGAGGGAAATAAATATACTACCGTTTTAAAAATTCAAGGGTTTTTTTTTAAATTAAGAGGTGATGGCTACAAGATTTTTTTTCAATGCAATCGAAATCTTAATATTAGGGCTTAGATATTTTTTAGTAATTTAAAACAATTTATAGGCATACAACATCATGAAATAGTCAATGAAGTGTGCAGGTATTACTATAAGTTGTAAAAACGTTTGAATGCAATTATTTCTACAATACGTTCTGTTGTTTTTCATTATAGTTTTAATTAATCTATCAATATACTATATAATATGTCTTTCTAAATTATTAATCAATCAATTTATCTGTAATATGAAACATATTTTTCGACAGAACTTGAACTATTTATTATCAGTTAATTTATTAAGCTACGCACAAACTTGTTTTAACCCCTTAATTGATCTGTCCCTAAATCGTATGGGCGACCGAAAGCTGGCCACAACCTGTTTGCCCATACGCCGTACGGGCACTGGTAATTTCTTATTTCTATCCTTGCTTTGCATATACAGTCGAACCTCTATACAACGAACCTATATATTGCGAATTTTTCTATATAGCGAACTTTTTCCTGGAACCTTGAACATTTCACGATTTTCTTCG